AACTGTTTATCATTTTGGCTGATCATTGGCTTAATTGAAAAGCTATGATTTTGTTTTGGAAGGTAAATAGGCAAGTGAGAGAAGAAAACTATTGTTTCCTAACTAGTATCATATTTCCTATTTTAAACATTAGTCTATATTTTGACTATATATTGGGCTACAAAGATTCGATTGAGATAATTGGCCACTTGTTGGAAAGGTTAAAGAAATATCTATAATATTTATGTTTTGACCAAAAGTTGATTTGGTTAAGAGAAAAGTCAAAATTCAACTTCAACAAAAAGTGCAAGAGGTTTCATTAACTATCTAGTAATTTGACTAATTTTTGAAAAATGTGAAAAGTATTTATGGAATGGTGTGGGCTCTAATGTAGTATGAAAGGACTTCTAAAAGGACTAAATGAGTGTCTCCTCTTCACTTGATCAAAAAGTCAAAGGAATATCTTGATGTGATAGAATTTAGAAACAATATTTTTAATTGATTAATTTAGTGAATCTATGTTACCAAATAAAGATAGCTTAATTTAACAACCTTCCTAACCTTCCTTGGCCAAAAATTCTAGTCCAAAGAAGCTCTAAGATTCTCCCTTGGACATGCTCCATGTGTATAAAATGAGAGCTTTGATAGAACTTCATTCACTTTCACAATTTTTTCACAAAATTTATGCAAATTTATCTTTCTTCTTCTTCTTAGGCCATGCTTTCTTCTTCTTCTTCTTCTTCTTCATTTTTCTTCCACTTCTACACGTCTTTCACCATACTCCATTGAAGCAAGCTCTCAAGTTCTCAATGTGAACCGAAATTAAAAAGGCAAGCAAAGGAGGATAGAAATGACTCTTTGGCTGGACCAAAACAAAGATTGCGAAAACTGTCAACATTGAACAGACCATGGGAAGTGTGTAAATCCAAAAATCACAAAGTGACTATCAGAGTGTTTGGAGAATTTTTACTTGATTTGAAGAGGAGTTATTGGAGGAGATTCTTTCTACCTTATTCTTTTTATTTTCAATATTGAATTTTGTTTTTTGTTTTTTTTTGGTTCTATAGATTAAGGAACAAGTTTTTGATTGTGCTGAATGTCTATTTGATTGATACCTTGATTTGTTGATTGAATGAAATTTTCAGTTTTTTGTTTCTAAATCTATTTAGTTTTTGATTACTAATTTTGGGACCAACTTGATTAGTAATATCTTGTTGAATAAGCAACTAGATGTAATCTTTAGGGACCAACTTGGATTGATTTAATTGATAAAGAACTTGGTAAATTTATGATTTTATTTTTTAGGGACCAACTTGGGATAAGAACTGAATTTAATCAATTTTGTGAATCAACTTTCATTCAAGAAGTTTCATGAATTCAATCATTAAAAGGAAGTGTTTAACTTGTTGTTAGAGATTCTTAAGAAAAACCATGCAGAATAATGCCTATTCATCATTCCATCATTTTCTTTTTAAAAATTTTTTAAATTATTTTTAAGCATTCAATACTTTAAAGAAATCTTAACTTTTGGTTTTAAATTTAGTAAATTTTTTCTCAATCAATCAATCTAACATATTTAATCTACCACATCCCTTTTTTCCTTGAGAGACGATCTTGAGGTGCACTTGTTATTTACTATAAGTGGTTTGTATACTTATGAGTATTTTTTAAAGTTACATCACTAATCAGTAGTGGGAGGGTGATTCCCTTGCTGTTCCTTCATAGAATGACAAATGACCTATTTAAGTAGCAATAACTTTGAGACTTGAAAACATAAAAAAAATAGTGTCTATAACCATGTACTTGCTAAATTATATTCTATCTAACATTTAGGAAACCTTCTCATTGTCTAGCATCTAAACTAGAAGCTTCATATATGCCCATATTCATGAAAATTATTTGAGAAAAGTTTGGTTCTATATTTTAAGGTATATGAATTTTGTCTAACTTCATAAGAGAAAGTAGTGAGATTAGTATTCATTAAAACAGACAATGGTTTCGAGTTGAACACTGATTAAAAAGTTGCGGTTATAATTTTGAAATTGCTCATTCATCATCTTTAGTCGGATGGTATATATTCGATTTTTTTAATTTGAATTGTTTTTGCATAATAGATCCTAGTGTAAATAGGCCAATCATTATGAGATCATGTGGTATGAAATGGCTTAAAAATTTAATTATCCAATTAACTTACAATTTTATCACTAATTCTTCACTAATTCAAAGTCATTTTAGCGAGGGAAACTTTCTGCTAGTAATTCCTTGCTAAATACTCTTGAATAACAAAGGAGGAAATTAGTGAGAGAAACATTATGTTGCTAATCCTTCTCTAAATCAAAGTGAATTTAGTGAGGGAAACTTTTGTTACTAATTCCTGCTAAATTGCCATGAATAACAAATGAACAGTTGGCAGGAGAAACATTTCTTAGTTAATCCTTTGTTAAATCAAAGTAAATTTAGCGAGGGATCTTTTTGTTTCTAATCTCTTGTTAAATCTAACTGAAAGTCAAATTTCCATCACTAAGTCAACTTAAAACAAAAAAAAAAAAAAATATAGTGACAAAATAATATCTTGTTAATATGCCGCTAAATCTCTTGCTACATAAAAAAAATTAGTGAGGGAATTATTTTCTCTCAAATCCATCCATTTCAAAATTTTTAGCCAAGGAATTATTTTCCAACTAATCCGTCGCTAATAAGCAATTGATTAGCTTGGGAAGTATTTCGTTACTATATTTATAGTGTTTTGCCTGTATGCTAATTTAGAGTAAATTTTCAAAACAAAAGTCCCTTTATTTACGGAATTGTTTTCTTGAAATTATTTTTTCAATCCTTTTTGGTGACCAAGTGCATATGGAATCACATAGGTGGCGAGTCCAAATGTTTGACAAATTGAAAAGCCTCCTTATTACATTTTCTTGATCATGTTGCATTACGCTTTGGGCAAGTTTAAGGACAAGTTTGGCAAATTTTGAAGTTGGGGGACTAAAATGAAAATATTGTAACTTACCCAGGGATTTAATCAATACTTTACCCAGGACGTCATTCCAAGATTGTAGACGACGGGTATAACTTCTACCATTAACAAGAAGTAGGGGTGTTCAAAGGTTCGGTTTTGGACCTTTTCCAAACCGAACCGAACATACATACCATATAATTTTTTGGACATGGTCAGTTTTATCTCTTTAAAAAATCGAACCAAACCGAACTGACTTAAATCGGTTTGGTTCAGTTGACCTTGTAAATTTGGTTCAATTTTACAGAGTCTCACCCCTGATTTTACAACTTGAGCAACATGATGTAGGGGTGCTCACTGATCGTGCAGGTGTTATAGAGGGGGAAACGCAACAAAACCAGAGAAGTAAGGGGGAAATGCAAACCAGAACAGGGAGACGAACCAGAACAGTGAGGCAAACATGAGAGAAGCGAACAAGAGAGGCGAGCAGCTGCGTTGAGCCAATAGAAAGGTGAACCAGGCGAGTTGCATTGAGCCAATAGAGAGGCGAACTAGGTGAGCTTGAACCAGGTGAGCTATGTCAAGTCAACAAAGAGACGAACCAGGAGAGTTGTGTTGAGCCAACAGAGAGGCGAACCAGGCGAGCTGCGCCCAAAATCCCAGATGCGCAGCCGAGATCCAGTCGTTGAGCTGTTCGATTTGACAAAGATCGTGTTGTAACTCGATGTTGTAGGCGTATCCATCACTGAACTCAATGGTAGGGAAACCTCAAGTCTTGGTACTGTGAAGGGTTTTGGCAAGGGAGTTCTCTGAGCGGCTATGGCGGCAAGGGCATAAAATGCTTGACACTCTTTTTAACCTCCAGACTAAATTGCGTGTTTTGCTGCTCGTGGGCCCTTGACAAAACAAAATTATGTGTGTATTAGTAAACAATTGGTTCGGTTCGATTTAGGTTCGATTTTGGCCTAAATTAAAATTGAAACTGAACTAAACTGATTAAATTTAAGAGTCTTCTAAACTAAATTAAATTAATTTTTTTAATTTGATTCGATTTTTAAACAATTTGATTCGAATTGAATTGGTCCAATCAGCCCGATTCAATTTTGAACCCTCTGTCAATAAGTCCAACGGACTTCCATTCGGGCACGGAGTTCTTTTATCCCTATCGGCCCGGCTCGATTGTCAAGTAGATAAGGAAAAGTGCGTGTATATATATTATTATTTTTTTTTGGGTGACAAATTACTATATATTTGTTTCTTCGGATTGATAGTCAATTCTCTGCGTGTGCGCCACTTCGGCCCTCTCTCACTGCGTCTTTTCGCTTATCGTCCTCCTCCTTGAAACTACTGTAATCCGGAAGGTGTGTCAACGACCTACTCTTATCACCTAGTGTGTTTTCTTAACTTATATTTGATTTATTCTTTATGTATCCATGTTTTTGTTTTCCCTGTTCGCCAGAATTCGTTGCTTTGTTTAATTAATTTCCGACTGTTTCCGACTTTCTGTCAGTAAACTTCGCGAGAATTGATAAAAAATACCGAGAAAGGGAATGAAAATTTCAGTGTAGAATCGTTAGGCGTGGGGAAGATAACGATTATGATTATGTTTATGTTTTCCCTGTTTGCCAGAATTCGTTCCTTGTTTGATTGATTTACGACTGTTTCTGACTTTCTGCCGGTAAACTTCGCCAAATTGATAATAATACAGTACTGAGAAAGGGAATGAAAAATTCAGTGTAGAATCAGTAGGCGTGGTGGAAATAATGATAATAATTTTGTTTGGGCGGCGCTGAAAGGTCTTCTAACAAGGAATTTTTGGATTTCAATTCTGAATGGTCTCCAAGAGCTTCCAAGCCTTGTGTCATTTTTCTATTTCCCTCCCTTTATTTCGAAAATTTCCATCTGATGACCATATTTGTTTTATCCACACTCTTCTCTTTCTAGATATATTATTTATTATTATTATTATTATTATTATTGTTATTTTATTATTATAAATAGTAGTAGTAGTAGTAGATGGACTTAAGTGTAGTAGATAAATTTTTACTGTTTGCTACTTTGTCAGGATAACTTTGAACAGGTATTTGAAGATATTAGCTGCTTCATATTTGTTCCTTTGTTATTTTTTAATTTCCTTTTATTGAAAAGGTACTGGATGAGGCTCCAAACATTCAGTAATGTCTAATCTGCTTGCAGATAAATTGATATTATAGAATGGGTGGAAGCTCAATTGATGATGATTGGGAATTTGCTTCCCCTTCCAATGGTGTTCAGAACAATGGTTTTAGTTGGACGTACAGGGAATGGCAAAAGTGCAACAGGCAACAGCATCCTCGGAAGAAAAGCATTTAAGTCAAGGGCTAGCTCAGCTGGTGTCACAAAGTACTTGTGAGCTGCAGAAAACTGTATTGAAAGATGGACAGATTCTTAATGTTGTGGACACTCCTGGTATAGCCATATAGCAAGCAGTATAATGTTATTTGTCAGTTTTGTCAAATGAAAGTTAAGTTTTGGAATGCAAATGTGCTGTCTAATGTTTTTCTTTTTCTTTTTTCTCTGTTTCAGAAATTCTTCCTTTTTTCTTCTTCTTATCCTTCTTCTTCTTTAGGGTGACGGGAAAAGTGAGAAACTGTGAAGTTGATGTGTTTGGGCTTTTATTAGATTAATGGAACATAAAATATAAATAGAAAAAGAAAGCAGAGAATTCTAAATTAAATGACGAAATTTAAAAATTATTATTTATATTAATCTAAGAAAGTATATATTGCTAAAAAACTGGCATTTCACTTTTGTTCTTTCTTGATATGTTGCCTTATCAAACTGCTAACAGAAAAAATATGGCAGGATTATTTGATTTTTCTGCTGAGTCTGAATTTTATTGGCAAAGAAATTGGTCAAATGCATCAATATGGCCAAGGATGGTATCCATGCGGTTCTTGTAGTTTTCTCAGTCAGGACCCGTTTTTTCAAAAGAAGAAGAGGCTGCCCTTCATAGCTTGCAAACTTTGTTCGGCAAAAAAAATTAATGATTACATGATTGTTGTATTTACTGGTGGGGATGAACTTGAAGAAATGAAGAAGAAACATTAGAAGACTATTTAGGTCGTGAATGCCCCAGGCCTTTGAAGGTAATGCAAGATATTTTACATGTCTTCATCCTTTTTGCGTTAAATTTCTTATTCATAAATGATTATGGCTTTATATGTATTTATGACAATATAACACATGGAGTTGTTTTGCTCTGAAGTCTAGTCTTTTATGGAGAGTTGAGTTGTGAATACTTGTTGCTGTTGGGGATGTCAATTGCTTTCTTTTTCCTAATTATTTATTTTATTTGCAGCTGGGAACCAAAGCCCATATATTAAACTAATTGCACAATTTTTGTGCAAGTGATTTTTGTTGTTATTGCACTGCCAGAGGTTCTTTTATGATAACAGAATATATACATTCAAAAGCATATTGGAGCCCTTTGTTTGACTACTCCTAATCCAAGAATTGTTTCTTCCACTTATAGATGCTTTGATCAGTCAAGGGCTGAATGCAACATCTGTTTCAGTGTCATGCTTTTTGGCTGTTATGAAGTTTTATTGTGGTAATAATATGGGTGTTTGAATTAAAAGGTGCAGTACGTTTGAATCTTGGAAACAACTTAGTTGTGTGATAAACGATTGGTTACCTCACCCATTACTACTTTATTGGATTTGACTAATTTGATCAATTTCAATTGTTTAATTGTTGATTTGATCCAAATAAAAGTTTGATGGTTGAAATAATTTTCGAAAGGAAATTAAGAGGTTTTATGAATTTTTTCCCTTTATAAACTCGTATTAATCACACTGAAGTTACTAAGACTTAGTAGAACATCCTGATCCTGCTCTATCTTACTTCAAATCCTAATGTTAAGCCCTAAAATATTAAAAAGATAATTTAGAAGTATTTCTATCCAATGTCTATATAGAAATCTTAAAATGATAGAATACTAAAATAGGAAAATTCCAAAGTAAATAAAATTCCAAAACTAACAAAATGCATGAAAAATTAAATATTGAATTTTGGACTCTTCTCGATCTGCTTCATTCCCACATGGAGAAGTTCATACTTGAGCTTTGAATTTGTGAAGTGAGAAAAATTTTGAGGAAACTTTGGAGGAATGATGATCTTGATTAAGTCTGCATCTTCATTCTGGCTTGGTTCTTGGAAGGAGGAGCATCCTCAACAATTTCCTTTGGCAGAGTTGCTTTATTGAATTTTTTATCACTTGAACATCGTTGATGGAACACTTTGCTTCTTGCATTTTCATCCATAATAATTTGACCTTCTTTTTGCCATACCTGAAATAATAATAGTTTCAGCTTCGCAATATTGCATATGGCTAGCTCAGATCCATGTTCTACCATAGTCTTCATAGGAACAGCATGACACCAAAATTTCATAGGGAAACTTCCTATCTTAGCTGGAACCAAATATTAATGTTGAATTGAAAAACAATATCATTTATGCAGAAAATTCTTAGAGAAAGGTAGGGCACCAGTTCCAGCTTCAAAACATCAATAACTTCCTCAAAAATTATATTTGTCGTGATTTAATGATATATATAATATAATCTTTCACAACTTATCTCTTCATAAAATTTTGCAAAAATGCATCATGTATTTGTAAGTAAAAATATGTTTCAAGGATTACCTATTTCCCTTGGATGTATCTAGGATTGGTTTGCAAACCAGGTATGTTCAAGTTTGGTTGGGTTAGATGGCCAGAGTAATAGGTCTTTAAACTAGGTTAAGTTTCAAAACAAAAGAACTTGTTTGAAAACATTGGGAGTAAGGTTAACTTGGTTGTTTCAATCAGTGTTGTTAGAATCGTACGATTCATGATATGATTCGTGCGATTTGACACAATTCATGAAACTAGCGATTCGTATCAGCAATTGAATCACAGAAGTATCTAAATCATGTCAATATATAATTCTCGATACGATTCACAATTTGATAAATATTTGTGTTTAAAATATAATTTTTGTAAACTAAATCAAGGATTAACAGTCTCATAATCATGCTACATTAAATAACTGTATCAATTTGCATAAATTTCCATGTTAGACACTTTCTTATATTAAAATTTTAAAATTAATTTTTTCATTTTCTTTTTTTAGTTTAATTATAAAATTTATCTCAGTTGGCACCCAATGACAAAATATCTAGCTCCATCCTTGTGTAATATTAACGAATTTATTTCAAACTTAGAGTGTTTTGTTCATATTTTAAATATGGAATTATATATATTTAAGTATGTTATTAATGTGTTTTTGAATTGTATGATACGTAATGATTCATGATTTACGATTCAAAAATTGAACAAATGATTCTCGATACAATTCACAATTTGACAACTATGGTTTCAATGGCTATGAGTAGTTTAGGTTATGATTTAGGGCTTGACAGATAAGCTGAATGGGGTTAAGTCTGAGATGGGTTTGGGGTTAAAGGCTTGGTCAAGTGGGTGTATTCTCGTTGCGATGTTGCATTGGATTATCCAGGAACAAAATGTAAAGCTAGATTAGGTTTTGTGGGATGTGTGTAATAAATATTTGGGTTTACCTTGTCTTCTGAGAGTCACTACTTGAACCCTAAGCAAGATATCAAACTAGAGACTTCTGATGCATCATTTGACCGACATAGAGGAAGATGATAGGGTTTCGTCTAGGTCTGATATACAATGATGAGGTCAGATGGTGCAGGCTTTCAGTGAGTCAATACAAGATGGATGGTGCAGAGGTGGTACTCTGATGTTTGGGTTAAGAAGTTAAGTGATGACCATCCTCACTAGGGATCCCTAGTAGGAATTGATTAATTGAAATGAAGAAATTATAGATCAATCTAAGAAGAATCAAAGCAAGAGTCTCACAATGATTTCATAGAATTTCAGTCCTTTTAGAGTGGGACAATCCTCCAATACAAGATAATTCATAGATGAAAAACTGCCCTCTAATTTAAATTTCTATTTATATGTTACTAAATTGTTAATAACTTGCTATAACTGCTTTTAATTTGATGTAATTAACTGCTTCCTCTTTCTAACATAAGTAATTAGGGGTTTCTACCCCCTGGAAAATTCACCTTGTCCTCAAGGCAGAAAGAAGGGAATTGTTCTGCCCTAAAATACCCCTTTAATTCATGGTGGCACATGTGGTCTTCCCAAGAATAGCATGTAAAGATATCTCAGCAAATTCAACTTTTGTCGTTTCTTGTTCCTCATTGGCAAAATCACACTTCTTCCCCTAGTCTTTCTGGCTCTGCTTCCTTCTGCAATTTCCATGAAAGTGAGATTTGATTGTTTGCAATGACGGCCTGGAGCAAACTTGTCACCACATTTGAAACAAAGTCTTTTCTCTTGACATGTTTGTCTTTCTACATCCCAAGTGCGAGGTTGCAAAGCTGAAGCCGATTGTGATGTTGGTGTTCCAAATTGAGTCATTTGGTTTCCTGATTGGGTTATATGTGTTTGCAAGAATAGATTGGAGGAGTTTTTGTTAGGCTGAACTGCCATTATTGTCATTACCGTGGGTGTGTGACTAGAATTCCATTTTGAGTATTTCAGCCCCCTACGAGAGTTTGACTTTTGCCTCAAATTCCATCGCTAAATGTATGTGTTCGGTATACTAATTGAGGCTTGTGTATATGAACATCAGTTTTCAGCTCATCCTTCTGTCCATTGATAAAATATCCTAATAGGCAGTGTTCTGGCCATCTCTTTACTCATGCTACTCTTCTCGCAAACTCCTTCCTGTGCTTGTGGATGGTTCCTGTTTGTTTCACACTGCACAGATGCTTATCTGGATTCTGAAATTCTGCTGGACCAAAATTCTCCAGGAGTATTGACACAATTCCTCCCAATACAATAAAGTTCTTTCATTGCTGATCTAAGAGAAGAAGTCTAGTGCATTCACCTTCGAAGTACATGGACGCAATGTCAGCTTTGAGGTGTTCAGGAGTTTGATAATATCTTAAATATTTTTCAGCCTTCAATATCCATCCACTAGGGGTCGCCACCTTCAAATTTTGGGAATTCCATCTTTTTATGAGGCCTACGAGTTTTGATTCCTAGTCCATCATGAATTATTCTTCTTCTGGCCATGGAAATCTTCCCTTGCTTTGATTACGGCGTGTCTGATTTTTTTTTTTTTTTTACCACCTTAGTGTCAACATCTTCTTCTTTTGGCCATTGTGGTTTATCCATGTTTTGATCTTGTTTACATTGGGTTTTTTCCGCGATCTTGCATCCTATGGCTTGATTTTGATTGCTGTTCATTGTTGGCTTGATCTTTGAGGGTAGCAACTCCTGCTGATAATGAATCTAAGGTCTGTAATTTAGATAAAATAGTGGCTAACTGCTGTAAGATGGTGTCTGTAAGAGGGTTAGGATCATCATTTTGAGAAGCGTTGGATCTGATGTTAACCATGATGGATCCACTGCTCTGATACGAAGTGATAAGAACTGATTGACTGAAATGAAGAAATTACAAACTAATTCTAAGAAAAATAAAGCAAGAATCTCACAATGATTTCTTAGAATTCCTAGTCCTTTTAGAGTGGACAAATCCTCCAATACAAGATAATTCAGATCTGAAGCTGCCCTCTAATTTAAATTTCTATTGTTTTTATATGCTACTAAATGCTAATAACTATGACTGCTTTTAATTTGCTGTAATTAACTGGTTTCTCTTTTAAACACAAGTAATTAGGGTTTTCTTTCAATCTCCTATGCCCAAGACGAACATGTTTTTATAAACTTGTATTATCATAATAACTAAAAAATGGGTTACAAATTATAATAGAGCTTTCTTAACCTACTAGAAGTCCAATCTTATCTCAAATTCTAAAGATAAACCCAAAACATAAAGTGGGATTATGTAATCCTTTCCATTTCTATCTAAAGTAATCAAAATCAATACAATTTAGAAATGATATAATTATACGCCAAGATTATTACATTTCTTGAATACAGGTCTTGATCCCTATTTGTACTACCATTTTCTCCTTCTTCTCTTTCACACCCCCAACTCCCCCACCCTGGGCAAAAAAAAAAAA